GTCTTATTTCCTTTTAACATTTATTTATTTGTTATGATTTTCAAACTGCCAGGCCTGGGACTTGAACTGTGGTCAACCATGTGGGAATCCAGCACCTTAACCACCATGCTACCTGCAGGCCCACTTCATTGTCTTATTCTAAGAAAATGACACAGCAACTCCAATCTTTAGTAACCACCATCCTGTTTCCCCCCCAGCCATAAGCATTGAGGCAAGACTACTGCAAAAAATGTTGACTTACTGAAGACTCAGATGATATTTAATATTTGGGGCAATAAAGTCTTTTTTTTAAAAAAAAGGAATTATTTATTTTATTTTATTTATTCATTAATTATTATAATTATTGAAGGGGGCCAGCAGGTGGCATGGTGGTGAAGGCGCTGGACACTCCCACATGGTCAACCACAGTTCGAGTCCTGGACCTGGTGGCTTGCTTTCTCACTTTCCCGCTCTCTCGCTCTGTCCCTCTCTGATCAAATTTAAATAAATAAATAAATAAAATTCATTTTAAAAATTAAGTATTTTTAAATTAACTTATGTACACTTTTCTTTAGATATAATACTGTTACACATTTAATAGACTAAAGCAGTCATCCCTAACCTTTTTGACACCAGGGACCAGTTTTGTGCAAGACAGTTTTTCCACAGACTGGAGTCTGCAGGGGATGGTTTATGAGAGCAAGCCCTCTAGATCACTCACATGCACAGTTCACAATAGGGTGTGCGTTCCTATGGGAATCTAATGCCAGGGCTGAGCTGACAGGAGGTGGAGTCAGATGGTCATGTGAGTGATGGAGAGTAGCCGTAAGTACAGATGAAGTGTCACTCACTTGCTGCTGCTCACCTCTGCTGGGCAGCCTGGTTCCTAACAGAGGACCTCTGGGGATCCCTGGACTATGGTGTAGTGTAAACATAGCTTTTATATGCTCAGGAAACCAAAAAGCTCGTGTGACTCACACTGCAATATTCACTTCATGGTGATGGTGTGGAACCAATCCCCCAGTACTGGTGAGGTATGCCTGTTATAGGAGCAGTTGATCATTTTTCCCACCTACGGCAGCACGGGTCCTCATCACTGTTTACTGGAGCCCACCATCCCACTGAGACAGTAGCCTCTTCTAGGGTCTCAGCTTTAAGATCTCGTCATTTCAGGGACCAGCAGTTAGCGTAATGGCTATGTCGCTGGACTCCCACATAGTCGACCGCTGTTCACGTCCCGGACTCAGTGGTTTAAAACTCACGCCAGGCGCATGTGCGTGCATGCCCAAGATCCTGAGAGGAGAACATAGGAGAAGGGATTGTGGTGTGGCCATGCCCTCTGGGGGGTGATTTCTCGCTTTCTGTCTCTCTGTCTCTCTCTGTCTG